TCCCTTTCGGTAATACTTCCAAGCGCTACAGCGCTTTCCGTCATCAATGGAAAACCGCACTCTCAGGGACACCCGTTCTGAAAGATAAAGATCTATATATATATATCATACAGTATATCTTTTGTCTCTCCTTTCTACCTGGCTGTTTGCAGGTTGATTATTTAGGTTCATTCTAGTCTATGGGTATCGAAACAATGCAAGTTTATCTCCCAAAAGCATTGAGCAATCCCTATCAAGTTTCGGTGATCTTCCCAAACGTCTAGGTTGGAATGCTTCACTCGCTGAGCCATCCAAGGGTCTGGATCGTGAGGGAAGCTTTGCTACCATGCTTTCAACTTGAGCAACCACTATGGTACGCTTCTCTAATTAATTGATTGTCACTAACAGCGACGGGATGCAAGAACAAAGAACTTCCTGTCGAACCTGTTTTCCTCGAAGGCTCATAGCAAGAAATCCAGCTGACCAGCTTTATCTTCCAGCTTGCTTCGTGCCTCGTGGAGAAGTGCGCAGCTGTCTCACTCTTGCGTTTCACCTGACGTGCCACCAATGGGCTGCTATAACAGGAGCTCAGGGACGTACCGGGACAAACGCATACTGTCCGGAGCAAGCATCTTGCACCCTACAATTCCAAGAGCGATCTATCAAAACAAAAACAAGTACAACCAACTGCGGCCGGAACCCGATCCAACCTAGATGTAGCAACATCAAATCGGTACGGTGTAGTGGTGTTGTGCCAATGGCAGAAAAACACGTTGCGCCAATGAACTGCTGGGATGATCGTCTCTTCATCTGAAGTCTTGTAGAGCGCTTGACAGAGTGTTGTTATCTGCAACCTATTTGCGTGGGGGTCCTTCTTGAACTCCTAACTCCCTGCTACGTGTCTTTGCTCTCACGCATTCAGCCAGCTTCAAGCTCCAGTTGCCTGTCAATTGACTTCAAACAGCATGTAGATCAAAAGGCAACAGTGTGATAGTGTATAATATCCAAACATAAGCCTGGGGGGAGTGTTCACCCAAAACTAAATCAGCATTGAAAGGGCCAGATTTGCAACGATTTCTCAAGTAAACTCAAGTAGACAAACCTTGCAAGTTTTTGTTGTGCCCTGAAGTGAAAAATTGTATCGGTACGAAAAAGGTGTTTCTACCTCACTAAGGATTTTGAATGGGCCCTGTGTTACCCCCACATTGCACAACTAGCAAACAGAAGGAATTGACGTGTTTCCAGGACTGTGAGTGTCGGGAGGGCCTACTGAGCGCAGCCTCGCATGTCACCATGACTCCAACTCAAACAAGACACTGTTGCGTTCCCCACCTGCATCTCCACAGTCCTCACAGTGCCAAAAAGGGTGCGTAATGACCGAAGATATGAGGCCAGCAAGGGCAGGACAAACTGGCTACGCGAGACTTCGGCACACACTTCGTCACATGCTCGAGCGCCACCTAATGAAGAAACACCATCCACCCGGGTTTTGCTGACGAGTCCGTCTTGCTAGCTTGGGTTGCGCGCAAGGTGCGTCTCCTTGCTGCAAAGTGTTCTTGGATGCGACCAGCTTGACAAGGGTTGTTACAATTTTGGACTGGGCACTGGGAACATATCTCTTCTATCTAGCTTGCTTGCTCCACCAAATGGTGTCGTATGGATCTAGCAGATTCCAGGTCAATACCATCCAATACTACTGTCAGTGCGCTTCGAAATATATCTCACACTCGGCATTCTGGGATTAGTTTTCCAGGCACTATTGCACCTCTGCATCCTCCTTCTCCAAAACGCACATCTACACTAGGTTCAAAGTAAATGCGCAAATTGGTAGAGTGTTTAAATTAGGGTCTCATATTGAAACCATTTCTCTCAGGTTTAACTTATACCATCGACTTTAAACCTAACGCAAGCTTGAAAAAAGGGCGGCTGTTGCACCGACTTTAGGCCACCCAACGGTGCACTGGAGACATCGCCCGTGGGAGGATCCAGTGACTCAGCCATTTCAGTCAGCTCTGCCTCAACACACTGAGGGTTGCACTGGCAAAGTTTTTTACACAGAGCCAAGCCTCGGCAGGCTCAACTGGCTGGATGGCATCCTCAATCAGGTCTGGCACCATGGACGCCACAATGCCATCAACATCAAACCTGCCAATGCCGACAAACCTTTCTATCCAAGTAAGTTGCTGTTGTGTCCATTGTAAATAGATGTGCGGTTTTTGTTCTCTCTACCCATTGGCCTATAGGGTTAGTGAAGCCGTTGTATTCAACAGCATGCAAAGCAAGGTCGGTACCCGCGCACTGTAGTGCAAATGATGCATCTTTGGATGGGTATATTGCAAGCATTTTTAAAAGAATTATATATAGTTTTTTGTGCTGGTGCGCACGGTGGACACCTAGCTTAACTACGCCTCCGTTGACAACAATGCCAAATAGAAATGAACATAAAGGATAAAACTGAAAAAAAAAACACTGAAAAAAAACTAAAGTTCCAAGCAAAAACCAAGAAGACTATAGCTGGTCGGTCCAAGGTTCCAAGCAAGATTAAAACAAGTGCTAAAGTTGGATCCACAAGGTTGCAACTGAGGGATGGAATTGGAAGGCATCTGAGATGGGCGTGTTAAAGCCCACGTATGCAAGAAAGGTGCGTGAAGACCCTATCTATGTATGTATGCATGCATGCATGCCTGCTTGTCCGTCTGT